GGGGCGGGGCGGGAGGAGCCGGCCTCGGGACAGTCCTTTTTTTCCTCCCCCACCCTCAGGGTGGGTATTGGTTGGATTGTTTGGTCGCCAACGCACAATGATGAGGCACGGGGGTCGCAGCCCCCAGATTGTGATGTCTCGGGGTGCGGTGGACCTGGTGACGCAGGCCAGGGTGCTCCAGGAGCTGGTCCAGGATGTCTGCCCCTTCCCCATCCTGCCCCTCTGAGACCCTTCCAGTTGCAATAGGAACCCATCCTATGCCTGGATCACCTCCCTACTAAATGCAGCCAAGCCCTCCCTGCCCATTCCTGATCCCGGAGGACTATGGAAAGTGAGTGATGGGCGAAGTAGTGTAGAGATGGAGTTTCCATAGGGGCGGGAATCGAGGGTGGAAGTTATTCCTTCCTTGATTTAGATTAAAGGCCACTTCCGGTTCTGCCCAGCCGTTGGGAGAAACAACCCCCCTCCCAGGAACGGGTACCTTTGGAGTCTTGGCCACAAGAAACGTAGGGTTTTATTGAAACCCCAAGGACAGGCTGTGGCCACAGCTCAGATGGTACTCCATTTGCTTTGCGTGCCCAAAAGCCTTGGGTTTGAGCCCATGTGCAACATAAACCTGGTGTTTGCACACACCTGTAATCCCAACACTCTGGAGGGGGAGACAGGAGGAGAAGAAGTTCAAGGTCATTCACAGCTACCTGGATGAGTTCAAGGCCATCCTGGGATACCTGAGACAAAACAGTCCTTTGTGGTTCCCCCTCTGGGCCCCTGTGTCTTTAAACCTGAGAATTCTGGATCTTATCTTGTTTGGGGCTCCACTGGGCCTGTGTATCTGCAGCCAGGACTCCTTTATTGGTTAGACAGCAGAAAATCTGGGAGTTTGTCTAAGGTGAGGGATGACCTAGGGGTAGGTACCAAGTCCCAGTGTCTTGCTCCCTGTTCAAGTACCACCCCTTTCTGGATATCTAAAGCCATCCAGAAAATAGAGAATGCCATTCATATCGTGCATGCCAGGAAAGAGACAGTAGGCAGAGCTTTCTGAGCACTCAAATGTACCTAGGCCTGCTGTGGTTATCACGACCATTGAAAGCCCAGCAACTCACCAATGAGCAAGCGAAGATGGAGGTCCCAGGCCTGTGTCTCCTGAGTAAAGCGGGCCCTGAGGCGGGGATGAGAAACCTTCAAGTCATCTGTGTTTAACCCAATAACCAATGGAGATGAGGATTACAAATCAAAGGGAACTCCAGAGAGGAAGAAGCCAGTTTGGAGCAAGAAGCCAGTGTGGAGGGGAGGTCACCAAGGGTCCCTAAAGCCTGACCTTGGAGCTGAACCTAAAGGGGAGAGAGACCTGTCCCCACCCCCTGGGGGCAGGCATCAAGCCAGCCAGGTAGGCTCTGTGGAGATCATGGCGGCCTGAGGCCCCGGGTGGGACCTCCTTGTGCCTGCCTCGATTCATAATCAGGTGGTCACTTCCCACATGTTGCTGCCTCCTTCAGAGCCAGGGTTGTGTTAGCAGGCGTTGTTAACACTAGTCCCGTCAAGCAATCACACTTAAATTCGCTTTCTCTAACTGTTGTGGGCTAAAGTTGGGCTGAAAATCCTTGTCAGCTTTGCTCCTTCAGGAAATGGGTGGCCAAGAACTTGAAACGGTGTGCGGTTGAACAGGATCCACAAGGAGCAGCCATCTGTCATGAAACTGTGGTGACTATTCTTGGGAACAAAGGGGGAGGGGCCTAACACCACTGATGGAGCCCCGATTGTAAATCGGATGTTTCTTTTGGATCAAAATGGAAGAAATGTGAGGTGGTTCTCCAAGTGGCCTGGGAGCCAGAAGTGTGACACTGGCCCCTAACCCCACCTGGATAGTCACTGAATGAATAGGACTCCTTCAGGATCTCTGAGGGTTGGGGGAGCACACAAGGTCTGTCCGATCCATCCTTGTGCCATATATAGCCTCACTTGTCAATCATAGTTCTCCACTTTGATCTAATGCTGTGAGTTACTGCAGGTTCTGGTCACACCCGGTGCTTGTGGTCTGGTGTCGTTTGTCCCTCTTGGGTTCATGTTTGGAAGCCTGGTCCCAGTATGGTGATGTGAGACGCTATGAAACCGTAAGAGGTGTGGCCTAGTGAGAAGTCATAGGTCCTGATGGGAATGTTCCCCTCAGAAGAGATTAAGATCATTCTCATGGGACCCTGGCTATCCTCATCCAATCAAGTGAACTATAAAACGAACAAGTCAGCTACGGGTAGCTGAATGATAGAGTGCTTGCCTGCTGTGCACAAGGCCCTGGATTCCAACCCCAGCACCACTAAATAAAGTCCCTCCAGTTGAACTCTCTGGCTTCCTGGTTTGTGGGAGGTGTCTCCCTGTCACTCATTCCCACCACGATGTCATCACCACAATGAGATATCATTAGGGGCCTCATCACAGCCACTACCATGATGTATGTCCTTTAAGCCTTCAAGACTGAAGAAAACAAACCTCTCCCATTTGTTAGTTGTAGGAACAGGAAATGGACGGATACACACGATCACACCCAGGCCTTTGCCTGACTCGTCCCTTTTGGAACCACCCCCAGCTTTTTTTCTTGACCAGCTTATGCCCCCTTAATCACCCTCACCTCAAGAGAACCCTACTCATTTCTCCACCCCGGCATGAAGCACGGTACCTGGCACAGAGGAACGTCTCCAGGGCGTGAATGAATGGCCCTTATTGTAGGCCAGAACTTGGAAAGCAGGGGGACCGGTATGACCAACAGCTGACCCTCATGACCAGGCCCAAGCAAACTTCTGAGAAGGCTATCGAGATATGTTTGCATATCTCTCATGGCGAAGCACGTGCTGTGGAGAAGTGGGCATGTGTGCCAAGATGGGGTATGCCTTCCTCAGGCATGTCCAGCTCTCTAGAGGATAGGAACTTAGAAGGAAAACTGGGCATTTGGCCTCTCGCATGACTGCACAGTACTCTTTTAGATTTGGGGGAAAGGAAAAGTACCCTGTCTACAGGCTTGGCTTCCCGGGAGTTTCCAACACTGACTTTTCTAGATGTTTCCCAGTTCTTTCAGAGTCTTGGTCGTTGTTTAAAACTGACTTCTCCCGAAGGAAGGACTTGGAGAATTGCAGAGTTGCTGGACTGAACTTTGGACAGCACTGAATCCAGCCCAGCCTCCCCCCCCCCCCCCCCGGCCCATAACAAAGATTTCCAGCGGACCTGGCCCAGTGACCATCCTGCCCCCTGCTTCTGGGGCCTGCTGAATCCAGGCAGGAAGTTCAAATGCAAGTTCCCATCTGTGTGCCCCAGTCTACAGGACCAGCATGTGGATTCCCAAAGCAAAAGAATAAGATAACCCCATTGTTCCTGTGCGGCCCCACTGGGAGACATGGGAGGGAGCTCCACTGGAGGGAAGCTGCCCTCTCTGGGAACAGCCATTGTCCTATGTTAGCTTTTCAGTGCTGTGACAAAATACCAGAGGGAAACTTGATGGGAAGGATTGGTCTGGGCTCGTAGGTTTGGAGGTTTCACCCACCGTCATCTGGCTGTGTGGCTGAAAGCCTTAGAACCTTGCAGCAGAAGGGTGTGGTAGAAGGAAGCAACTCACATGATGGAATCTGGGGAGTGGAGGGACAGCCAGGAAGGACTTGGAGACAGCTGTGTCTTTCTAGGTCACACCCCTGATGACCCACTTCCTTCATCAGGCCTCTCTTCTCAATTCCCACCACCTCCCAAGGAGGCCATCAGATTATAAATCCATCAAGGGACCAGCTGATGGATTAGATCAGAGCCCTCAGGATCCAATCACCTCATCAGAGCCCACCAGGTGGGGACCATGCCTTTAACACACGAACCTTTGGGACACCTCCCAACCAAACTGCAATAGCCTCTTATGGATAGAGATAGTCTTCTTCAGCCTTGGAGGGGATTGCCAGAGGCCAAAGAGGTAGGAATCCTTATTAGAAGAGCTTCAAGTCTGCTGAGCAGACTGCCCAAGGTCCCAAACTGAACCTCTTGGCCTGTAGTCCCCACTGACAACTAACAGCTCTCTCCAGTGTGGCGGAAGAAGGACTTGGCCATAGACCACACTAACACTTGGTAATAGTGTATTAGTTATATGTATAGGCAGGTTGATATAGTTTAAAATTCTTATCTCAATCAAAATTGTATTCATGAGCATGCTAAAACCTTCAGGAGCCTGAGGTAGTAATATAAGGTGTAATCCCAGAATTCCAGAGACTCAGGAAAGAGGGCTATGAGTTTGAGGCCATCCTTGGCTACATAGCAGAAACCGATCAAAAAAAAAATTAAATAAAACTTTATGAATTTCAAATGGTAAAAATTCAAAGTTAGTGGATCCCAGCTATTTGACCAGTGATTATTATTAAAAAAAAAAAAAAAGACCAATATATCCCCTAGCCAGGGGTCTGCATTATGATGTCACCCAGCTGCACTGTGGCATAAACACCCCCACCACCATCCCCCCCCTCCCACCCACCTTCATTCAACAGTCCTTGGTTGAGCGTCTCCCCATGGTCAGGGTCTGTATATAGTGTGGCCAGCTTTTAAGTTTGACCTCATCACTGAGATGGGAGCCTTTGATGCACTAAACGGTCAGGTTGTGAACGATGTCAGAGACATGCGCAGATGTTAGGAGAGCTCCAGCAGATGACCTAGTGGGGTGGGTGTGAGTGATTGGCAGCCTCCATCAAGCAGAAGAGAGAGAGTCTTGAGCTATTTAGACAGAAGATTTGGCAGTGCCCGGTGCCTGCTTAAGGAATCTTGTAGCACTGTGTCCATATGCTTCTGCTTCTAGCATTGTCTGTCATACCCATCATGGCAGCCAGCTTTCTGTTTCTCTACCAAACACTGGAGCAAATCAGCTTTTGAAGAGAAAAGGTTGGTTTGGGCTCACGGTTTGGAGGTCTCAGTCTCTGGTTGGCCCTGCTGCTTTGGGCAAAGCAATGCATCATGGTAGATGTGTGCGGCAAAACCAGCCACTGCATGAGTAGGAAGTGAAGAAAAAAGAAAAGAAAAGAAAGCAGCAAAGAGGGTTGATAGCTTCAAGGGCAGACTTAATGACCTCAATACTCCTTACGAGGCCCTGCCACTTAAAGATGCCACGTCCTCCCAGGAGTGCTATGATGGGGACCACACCTTCATTCCCAAGACCTCCGGGGAACGCTTAGATCCAAACTGTAGCACCCACTTTACTTCAGACTCCTGAAAGATGCCATGAAAGTAAAGGCTAATAGACTGGTACACAGTTGGTGCTCAAAAAAATGTTAGTTAGCCAGGCAGTGGTGGCACACACGTTTAATTCCAGCACTCTGGAGGCAGAGGCAGGCAGATCTCTGTGAGTTCCAGGCTAGCCTGGTCTACAAAGCAAGTTCCAGAACAGCTAAGAATGTTACACAGAGAAACTCTGTCTGGAAAAAAAATAGTTGTATGCATACACAAATCACTTTTGAGCTTTAGCAGAGCCTAAGGCAAGCCGGGGTCTCTTCCATGCCCTAAAACTGCTAAATGCCCATGTTTTCCCTCTCGGTATCTCCAGAATTCTGGGGGACACAACTCGAAGATTGTCAGCAAAGAGGTGTTAAGGCAGAGTCCAGGAGCAAACAGCAGGACTGAGGGCATGGGGGAGTTGTTTGGAGCAACAGAAATGGGCTTTCTCCTGCCCTGGCTCCTTGCTGGCTCTGTGATCCCAAGTACCTTAGTAACCTCTCTTGACTATGAATTGAGGTCCACAGTCTCCACCTGGGAGAAGGTATGAGCTCAGGGATGTTTATCTACAGGAGGATTCTTCGTTGAGACCCAGGTCGTTTCAACAGCTCAAAGCAAAGAACATCTGGAAGATAAAGCGCCCCTGACTTTAGGAGATTGCCTGTAATACACAAGATTAATGTATTACCTAAGATTTTATTAATTTTTTTGGGTATGCAGAGGTGTTGGTGGGTGGTTAAAAAAAATCTGCTTCCCTAGGTAGATGGTACCGGATGTCCCAATTTCCACAAATAAAATCCTTCATTTCTCCTGGTTTTGAATAGTCAAAGGCTGCTTCCCTGGAGACAGGACAGCTAATTTTTTTTTTAGACATAAAAACTCTATTTAAGGAGTGTACATTTTCCAGAGAAGCTAATGATGACCTCCAGCACCACCACAAAGAAAGCGATACTGGTCCCATGTAATGTGGAGAGAGGGTGCTTGATCTTTACAGAGAGAAACACCCATACCACCAGGTGTTTGCAACCGCATTGCAGAAAGAGATTTCTGTGTTGCTTTTCAGCATTTGGAAATCAAAAACAAGTTTTTCTGCAGAGAATCCCAGGAAAGATAGTTCAAAAGTCAGAGCCAGTATACATAACCCACGCCCTGGTCTTGTCCCTGGAGCTGGCATTCTCTGCACTGGAGAAGCCATTTCTAGTTTTATTGTGTGTCTATTGTCCTCCTGTGAAGCTGGCATTTAGGACTTAAAGCTGCCAAGGACCCAGTCAAGTGCATTTATGACCTCATTCACTCTTCCCCCGCAACTCCTCTGGGGAGGTGCTATTATTGTCTTGATTTTAGAGATGAGGAAACCAAGGGCTGAAAACTTTAGCAGTGTCCCCCAAGTCACGGAAGTACCTTAACCAGGAAGAGATTCAAGCCTAGATTTGCGTGTAGAAGAAGCCAGCCTGATCTTTGTGCTCCATGTCCTGTCTGTGGTAACTTTGAACTGGGCAGGTTCCCACATGGGGCTGTTTAAGGCAGAGCCCCTCTTCTAGGAGCGCTTTTGCTGACTTCTGGTCTTAGGTTAACAAGACCATCAGGGCAAAGCTCACCTCCAGTTCAGCAACAAAAGGGCTCTGCGTAGGTCCGAGGGAGATCCCCACATTTGATGCCAGAGGACCCTAGATAGCCTCACATCTTTGTTAAGAAACGTCAGTGAGGCCTTGGTAGAGGGTGGATTTGTGTGTGACATGAGATACTGCCTGCATTCTGGTGAGTGCATTGTTGCCAGTCTTGTCTTTGTGGGAGCATCATAGGTACATTCACACAGGCTAAGCCTGCTGTGACATCATGGATGTTAGATTCCTAAGGGACCATCAACAAACATGTAGTTAGTTCATTGTTAGCTAACAGGTCGTTAATGTGGTGTGTGACTCTGTATGTTCCATGCTGTGTCAATGGATTTGCATATAGATTCCTTGGGGGGAAAAGGAAGAAGCCTCTAAGCCAGTAGCAAGCCCCACCCACTTGATATGATGATTCATCACACACACACACACACACACACACACACACACACACACACACACACACACACACCCCGCCTTCTGTCCTACTGCCCGTCAGCTTTTCCTCCCTATTCCTCACCCTGCTCCTTGGACTTGAGCTGGATTTCATGGCTTGCTTGAGAAAAAGAACATGGCAACTGTGATGCCCATCTGAGGCTGGTCATAAGAAGTCCTGTAGCTCCTGTCTGGACTTTAACTGCCCCTTGGATGAGGACCAGCTTCCATTTATTCATCCATCAATATGAGCCTACAGACCAGGAGGAAACACAGGCATGTCCCAAGAGAAAAGATGAACAGGAGAGAGAAAGCCCTGCTCCACCACCCAGCAGCTAGAGCAACTGAGTTAGCAGCCAGACAGACTCAGGAGCTTTGTTCCAGGGCCCATGTCCAGCCCAACTGAGCTATGGAGGGCTCGAGCCCCACCAACCACCGAATTACATGAGAGACTCCCAACATCACAGAAGAACATGTGTGAATGCTTTAAAGGGCTAGATACCATCGCAAAGCACTAGAAACCCAGAATCCAGCCCCGTGCTCTGTCTCCAGGGTCCTCTGTTCCAGCTGCTGATACACACTCTACACTCCCTTCACCACTGTGATCTGTTAGAACTGCCCATGCCAAAGCACATAATCAGACTGCCTGTGTCCTTTTCCCCTGATGACCTCCAACCTCCTCCTCATCATCATCTTAAATCATTAGAGAAAGTTGCTTCTAATCCTTCTTGGTATATCCACAGTCCCTACCATGTATGACCCTTCCCCTTCTCCCACTCTGTTCTCCCAGGCTTTCTGCTCCTATTGGTTCCTCCAAAGAGCTGCTTATATGCAAACTCTTCAAAGGCTCCCTCAAAGTTTAAGGCTCCCCCAGTTTGAGAGGGCTGGGCATGTAGTTTATGCTGTGGAGTGTTTGCCTAGCATGCACAAAACTCTGGATTCTAGCCCTAGCAGCCATATAAGCTGCCATGGTGGCACATGCTTCTGATCTCGGCACTTGAGGGTGGAGGCAGGAATATCAGAAGTTCAAGGTTATCTTCAACTACATAGGGAGTTGGAGGCTAGCCTGGGCTATATGAGACCCTGCCTGGGGGCAGGGGAGGTGGATAAAAGATGTGAAATGTGTCTGAGAGTGCTCATCACGTTGTCCTCTATAGCCTGAGTCCCTTGACTACCATCAGGAAGAGATGGACACATCATGGAATCATATTTATCAAGGAGACAGGAAGACACAGGTCAGTCTTACAACCACACCATGAAGCAAAATAATTCAGATGCAGAAGTGTGACTGTAAGGGCAGCCCCAGAGTACTGGGGGTACTCAGTTTCTTACATGAGTCTGATTATGTGCTTTGGCATGGGTAGTTCTAACAGATCAATTTACCCATTTTCTGGATGGATGTTCCAATGAGTGTTGGAGGGCGGGCTGCTGTTCCACCTACCAGTTGGCTTTCATGTTCATTCTTTTGTTCATCTTCTCTTGGTCTTTCTTGGGCGAACTCCTATTGGTTGTTCTGAGCTAGCCCAGCTTTCTTTCCCCTTCTTCAGGAAAAAAGCTGTATCAGTCAGCTGTGGCTGCAAAACAACACAGCCATGAAGAAAGAGACTGAGGATGATTAATTCACAATTCTGTATTTGGGATGCATGTGAGCCAGAGTGGCAGACTGGGGGGCTCCACCCAGACGGTTAGAACTCAAGGATAAAACCACCAGGATCTGACATAGGTCAGCAGTCAGGCCCCTCAGGGGCTGGGAGGAGACCAGATGACTATGGAGCTCAGGCTGTGATCGCCAGCCTGCACAGATTCCGTTCCCAGCTCTGCCACCTCCTTCCTGTGCAACTTTGGGGACTTCTGCCCTTGTGAAATGGAGTCACAGCGAGTTTTAGAGGCGGCAAATGTACATAGTGCTCAGAGCTGCCCCCTACACATAGTAGGCATGCAGCGAGGCCCCTCCACTCTCTTGCGTCTTTCGTCATTCGGAGGCAGGTACAAGGCAAGATCCCTAGTGAAAGGAGATCTTGAGGTGTCCAGTGACCTTGGCATCCTCAGTTCCACAGTACCTATGGCCTGGGGCAGCTGTGACTGGGTGCCCCTGTCCAGGTGCAGGTGCTGGACCTGCAAGGTCCTCCAGTGTGTCTCAGTAGCCAGCCACATTTTTGAGCTGTTGCTTAGTCTACTAACAAAAAGTACTATTACAGTGTCTCCTTTGCTAATTAGACAAACCCTCCAGGTGCCAGGTTAGTGAGGCCATATCAGCCTCACTTTAGGGCTTGCTCTAGGGTGTGGGGTCAGAGGTAACCAGGCACTATCAACCTCCAGCAGCGTGGAGTTGGAATTGGAGTATGTTGGAGTTAGTTGCTGTGGGGTAGGCAGGAGCCCTGCCTGCTTCCCCATCTCCCCAGAGCTCAGGAACTGGCTCTCTTTGAAACCAGCTCTCCTACCCTTGGGGTCATTCCCCAGCCTCAGCAGGAAGCTGGAAGGAAAGACAGGAAGGAGGAGGGACTTGGGGAGAATTGGGGGGTCAGTGACATCAGGGACTCTGGCACTTATCTGGAGTCCCAGGCTGTCTGCCTAATTTATTGTGCTTTGTCCTAAGAACAGGCTTATTTTTTTAAGCCCTTCTATTGGAAGACCTGCCCATGGGAGCATCACCTGCCAATATCATCACAGAAAGCCCATTGGGGAAAACAGGAAGCTGGCTCCTGTCAGACCTTTGGTCCTGAGGTCAGGCTCAGCCCTCCAGCATGCGGTCCACAAGGGGCATTGTGTGTTCCACAACTCTAGCTGCAGGACCTTTTTCAGCATCATAACAAGAAGCCACTTCTCCCAAGAGGATGGAGCCCTCACTTCAGGGCCACATGGTGTAGGGGTGGTTGTCTGTGCTTCACCCCTGAAGCACCACCCGTAGCAGGCAGTAGATAACTGCTAGGTACCTGCCCCCACCCGGAGCATGGCCGAGACAGGGACCCCTTAAGAACTGAAGTGCGTAAGTGCTCACTCTCTCTTGGCTACCTCTTGATCCTGGATGCTGGACTGCAGACCAAGTTAGAGTTCTCCAGAGAACCGCGTTGGACTGCACTTCATCTCTCCTGGATCCCGTACCCAACTTGCTGTAAGTTTACCAAACTAAACTCCTCTTGACTATCAGATAAACTATGTGGAATTGCCTCATTAATTGTCACTATAACGTGGTCTCCTCGCTGCAGTGTGAGGACCAGGGTGGAACCTCAATTCCACTTGATCCTGACAGGACATGGGACAACTGTGGGCAGAGAGCATCTCTGCCCTCACGGCTCATTGATTTCACAGCAGAATCCACCTCCCAGTCCTGTACTGCTCACGGGGCTACTGAGTGCTAAGTGGAGATACTACAGGAACACACACATTCATGACAAGGAGGCAGGAGATAAGGGTGTGCCATCTGAACCACAGTGACACTCCGGAGGGAGATGAGGGGAAGGTGCTTGGGGTGGGTAGGAATCTAGAGCTGTGGACAAGGGTTGAGAATCCTCAAGATGGAAGGGTATCCAAGCATGGGCAGGGGGAGCCTGGCTGTGATGATCAAGGTTGGCTTTACAGGAAGGAGGTGGGGACACAGGACACTCAGCCACCCAGACTTTCCCATCTGTCCCCTACCGAAGAATGTCTCCATCTTCCCAGGGCTTCTCGAATCCTCTGCCACTCATTTCCTTCCTCCCCTTCCCACTTCCTTCACCAAGATTCAGCGGTACTCTGTCAGCCACTGGGCAGGGTACAGGTGGTCCATGCTCGTCCCTGCCTCCACCACCACGGGACAGTAGGAAAGAAAGGGGACAGCCTGATATGCCCCAAGTGGGTGGGGACAGGCACAGCTGTAAGAACTTTCGTCACCTGGAGTTAGACTTCCTCCCCTCATGTCTCCATACTCAGTTCACCCAGGAGACTTGCCTTGGTCTGTGGACATTAACAAACGTGACCCACACAGAGATCTTAGTGGTGCTTGTGCATTCAAACTTTTGCCTGCCTTTGGGTTGCTTGGAATTCTGAGACCAAGGTGTGAGGAGACCAGGTAAGCCAATCACTGAGGCCATGTGGAGGTGTCCCAGCAACTGTGAGCCAGCTTCCGCCCATGTGAGGCCTGCTAGATCGTCCAGCCTGGGGCATTCAGATATGAGAGGCAACATCTTCCTCCTGGGCAGCCCCTGTTGATGATTGATGGAGATCTGCCACCCTGGAGACTGGACGTTATTCACAATCTCACTTTTTGCAGTTCCTACTTATAGTTTGCACAGTTCTGAGACAGCCCTTGAGAATTTCTCACAGGGGAGATTGTGGTCGAAGAAGGAAGGGACTATCCTGGTTCTGAGTTTCAAGTCGTTAGAGCCTCAGCTCATTTCCTGACCTATAGCCCCATAGCCATGAATGGGCTATGCTTGCTTCAGGATAGCCTTGCAAGCTAGGATCCAGGCCTGTGGATTGCCACTCAGTGGCAAAGGCTGATGCATATACTCATATCCCCCCCCCCTTCCTTCCTCCCTCTCTCTCTCAATGCAGACAGTCCAAGCCAGGGCAGCTGGCCTTTTCTAGTGAAGCCATGTGACCAAACCTTGCTCATCCCTCCTCCTCCTAATCAGTGGGGATGCTGCTGCTTCTTAGCTGCTGTTACATGCAGTGGCAGGTCTCAGGGAGGAAGCAGGCATCTTGTTAGTTTTCTGGGATGCTACCTAGCAGAGGTTCCCAGCAGTCTCTACCTGGGAGGAGGCCAGCTTCCTCAGCTGGGCTGACCACATGTTGCCTTATTTTTCTTTGGTTTTACCTGTCATCCAGCTAGAAAAATTGTATTTTATACCTGTTAGAAAGCTTGAGGGGAAGGCCATGTGGCAGTGTCTGGTGCTTCGTTTGTTCCTGAACGCCTCAAGCAGATCCTGGTGATCTCAAAGGGAAACCAGAGCCATGTGTAGAGCATAAAGCTCACAGGGGAGTTCCACAGGGACCCTGTGCCCCCATAGGGCATATGAGCTAATTACTCAGACGGTCACCATGACTTCAGGGCACCTGCAGCATGCATCCTCGGAGCTCTGAATCAGTTCCGAGTGGACAGTGGACTGATGTGAGGAGGGGAGATTGTGAGTGCTGGGGTGTCCACCTCTTTCCTCATGGAAGGAGACACCTTCTGAGCTCAGAGAAGTGGCCATAAGCACCCAGTCCCAGTGGCAGGAGCATACAACTAGTACAACAGCCACGGACCCAGGGAGGCTGTCACTGCACTGTATGGCAGGTTACAAGCTATGCCAGGCACATAGCCACTCCCACCTTGTACCATGTTTCCACAGGATAGGCATGACCATCTCCATTTTGTAGAGAGGAAACAGATGATAAGCAAATGTTGGTTCTGCCTGTCCAACGTCCATGCCCATTCCTGCTAATGCCTGAGTCTTGACTTCTTGTCTGGGGATGGGGTAGCTGGTGGGATTCTCCACCAAGGGGATCATTTTAGTCACTTGTAGAATAAAGGGTTTATAGGGGGCTCGCTAACACTTTCAGAGGCTAAGTCTGTGACCATCATGATGGGGAGCATGGTAGTACACAGGCAGGTATGGCTTGAGAGCTTATATCTTGATTCACAAAGCGCAAGGCAGAGAAAGCTAACTGGGAATGGCATGCGCTTTTGAAACCCCAAAGCTCCCTCAGTGACACACCTCCTCCATCAAGGCCACACTCCTAATCCTTCCCGGACAGTTCCACCAACTGGGGACCAATAACATATGAGCCTATGGGGAGGTCATTCTTCTTCAAACTACCATAAGATTCGTTTCCACAGAGCAAATGTAGGACCAGCTTAGCCCATTTCCTCATGTGTTCCAACTCTGAGGGGGGAGGTATCCCCAACGCAAGTGTTACAGCTCTGTAGAGAAAGGTATCCTGGTAGTCGGGAGCCAAGGAATACCTCAAAGTCACACTTCACAACAAACCTCACACAAGAGATTTATTGGGAGAAACCCATGAGGGTGGCTGCTTCTGCTTGGGTGAGAAACTGAGTGGGAGGCAGGCTTGTGCTGTGGATACCGTTCTATATAAATAAAACACTGATGGCCAGTGACCAGACAGGAAGTATAGGCGGGACAAGGAGAGAGGAGAATTGGGGAAACAGGAAGAAGGGGAGAGACACTGCAGCCACCGCCAGGACAAGCAGCATGTGAAGACGCTGGTAAGCCACCAGCCACGTGGCAAGGTATAGATTTATAAAAATGGGTTAATTTAAGATAAAAGAACAGTTAACAAGAAGCCTGCCACGGCCATACAGTTTATAAGTGATATAAGCGTCTGAGTGATTATTTTATAAGTGGATTGTGGGACTGTGGGGCTTGGGGAACCTGGAGAGAAGCCCTCCAGCAACAGGCTTGTATGGAGTTTCCTGGGGGTGGAGTTTCCCAGGGTGGGATTGGTGGAATTTCAAGTTGTGAGCTTGGGGCGGACTCAGGGATTGGTGGAGTTTTGAGCTCACAGATTGGTGGGATTTTGAATCCTGAGCTTGGGGCAAGCCCAGGCATGGGTAGGATGTCAAGTTCGGGAATTGGTGGGATTTCAAGCTCTAGAAACGAGCTTGGACTTTTTACCCTACCCTTCGGTCCCTGCCGTTTCTGTCTTGAGCAGAGGGAGGCAGCGCTAAGAATGCAGGAAGCTGACTTGTCCAAGAAGAGGACAGAGCAGTGACCCCAGAGACCTTCCCGAGGGTTCCCGCTGCCTGGACCTCTCTGCTCCATCCTTATCCAAGAAGCCATGAGCCTGCTGGGGAACCTCTTGAGCCTGCCATTTCCCGAGCAGGCCAGCCATGCAGCTGTCTCTTGCATGCAAAATAATTCTGACAACAGGAAGCGATCCCTCAGCATCATCCTGCTGATGAGTAACTGAGTCAGAACAAGGCCCCCATATATCACCAGGCTCCTAGGCAGACACTGTTCTCCAAATGCCCACGGTTGGTCTGGAAGTGGCCCTGTCACAGCGAGAGCCTTTGAAGAGGCCGTGAATACCTCAGCAAGCGCCTGTGATGGGATGACGCCTGTCACCATGGAGCAGCCGTGGAGGCCCACGCTCTGTGAAAGCATCCATCGGAAGCATGACCACACACCCTCTCTGCCTAGAGTTAATGGGATATCCTGATTGTTCCTGTCAGTAAACTGCTCCATTACTCAAGCCTTCAATTCATCACGGACGTTTAAAAGCAAAATCCAAGGCCCTCGCTTAAACAAGCTTCCTTGTTTACTTAATAATGGTGCCGTATTGACTGAACAGGGACATTCTGTAAGGAACATTCCCTTCATGGCCTCCTGCAGGATCTGAGGCAGCAGGCAGGGTCAGGGTGGGGTGGGGTGGGGGCAGCAGCCCCAGGATGGCTTGGAATCTCAGAGCCTATGGAGAGAGCTTCCTGGGCTGGCCTGGAAGTCACTTTCAGGCTGCCTGGGTTCTTTAACACATCTCCCCCAGACCCCCTTCTTTGCTGAGGCCAGCAAGACTCCAGCAGAAGTTCAGAGTCTTGTTTCCTCCCACGACTCGTTGCCCAGTGGCCTCTGTGACCCTCTCTCTCTGGCCAGGCTCCTGGCGCAGAAAACCAACATGCACCTCTACAGAGAGGCAACTGCAGCCACCACGACAGCCAGCCTCTGAAACTCACTTCCTCCCCTCTCGTATGCTTCAAGGCCCTCTGATTCCTTTTGACCCCAAGATGGCTCCCAGACTCCATTCTGCCCATCTCTGGACCGGTAATCCGTCCTGAAGTCTGAACTGTGGTCAGCGGAAGCTTCCATCAGCCTCGCCAGGGACCACTCTCACCCTGCTGTCAGACATCCATCCCTCCACGGTGTGGGGGGAGCCAGCAGTCCTCGTGGTAATAGCCATAACTGTGGCCAATTTCAGTAATTTCAGAATTGCCAGGGAATTCCAGCCTGTCGCGGCTGCTCCTTCATACTTCCTTTGATCTCCACTCGTCTCCGTGAGACACAAAATACTGTTGTCATCTTCAATTACTCGAAGGGACAAGGTGGCCTTGACCTTGCCACCAGGCTTCCCCAGCCCACACGAGGCAGCTGCTGTCATGGAGGAAGGCCAGGCTCTTGATGAGGGAACTTCCTCAGGCCCATTCTGGAGGCCGGGGCTTCTGGAGACGCAGCTTCGAGCGTGTGTGTGTGTGTGTGTGTGTGTGTGTGTGTGTGTGTGTGTGTGTGTGTGTGTATGGACCCCAGCATGGAGGGCTGGTGGCCTGGGTAGAGCAGGTTGCTGACACCCCCTTTGGGCCAGGATGTATTGATATCTCTGTTTAGCGGGTGTGAAAACTGAGTCCCAAAGAATTATGCAAGTTGGGGAAGTATGGTTTGGTTGTCAGGCCATTGGCTCTACCCCCATTCGGCTGCCTCCAGTTCTGAGTATGCTATAACTTCTTGATTTGTTTGAGGTACTGGAAACTGAACCCAGAGCCTGGTGCATGAGAGGCAGCCACTTTATCGTTGAGCTATATCCAAGCTCTGTGTTTCGTTTGTTCGTTTATTTATTTATTTATTTATTTATTTATTTATTTATTTATTTATTTATTTATTTATTGTGAGCCAGACTCATACCAAGTTGCCCAGGCAGGCCTTGAACTTGAGACCTTTTGGCCTCAGCTTCCCCAGAATTACAGGCGTATACCACTAAGTACAGCTGAGCTGAGTTCCCTCCATTGTTCCCAGCCCTGGATCTGGATGTGTAATGAAAGCCCACCTTTCCTACAGGCTCTCCAAGATCAGAAGCTGAGTCTCCCCTTCCACAGCCCCTGTCAGAATGAGGTCCTGTGTTAGTGCACCCCGGTCAAGCTCTGGGCTTCCGTGTCCTTCCCGCGCCCCGATGTGTCTTCTCACTACATATGGCTGTCTCAGCAACTGTTCTCAGGAAACCTAACTGTCTTGTCCGGTCCCCAAGCCCGCCTCTTGCCATTCCCTCCAGAGCAGCCGTTCTCAACCTGTGGGTCCTGACCCCTTTGGGGTCAAACAACCCTTTCCCAGGGTCACCTCAGACCCTCGGAAAACACTGGTATTTCTATTACAATTCATAACCATAGCAAAATTGCAGTTACCAAGTAGCAGCAAAAGTAATTTTATCATTGGGGGTCACCCCAACCTGAGCATCTCTCTTAAAGGGTCGGGGCATTAGGAAGACTGAGAACCACTGCTCCAGAGCATCCTTCTTTACAGTCTCCCAGACCTCAAGTGGGGCTTGCAGTCCAAGTTGAGGTCTTCGTCCCCTCCATCTCTCTCACTTCTCACCTTCCTCACTTTAAGCTGCCAGTTTAACATAAAAATAAAATAAAATCCATAACCCACCATGTCTTCCTGACTGCGCTTCCTCCGTCTCTCCTAGGACAATGGTAGCCACTTCCCTGTTGGTCTCCCCACACCTACCTGACTCCCCATTGATCTCCTTTATCATTTCGGATTCATAACTGCCCCCCCACTTAGATGCCAGGCTGGTGAGTGCCAACCTGTATGACTTTGTGCTGTGCGTTGGTCTAGCCGCTCCCCCCACCACACTACCACCGCCACTCTTGGGACCTAGGCACACACCCAGAGACCTTTGCACTGGGGAAGTTTATTTGATGTGAAACCCTGCATCTTTCTTGTCCTACCAGAAGTTTCTGTGTACATAGCACTGTAAACCACATCTCTACTTCCTTGTAGAAGCCAAGGCTGCCTTTACCCCTTCCTCCTAAGTAAAGTCTCTCAAAGCAGTTCTGTGGCCATACCCCCTCTCCCCTTTAAAAGTGACGTACCCTTTACCACACTGTCCACACCTAAGTTTTATAGGCACATGCACCTGGCGATCTCTGTCCCATATTTAATCATTTCAGGAGGAGCTGGGGTCGGAAGGCACACAAAGGAAGAACTGTCTGATATTTCACCTAATGCAGGGGAGTTAAGGGTAACCCGAGGCTCCCTAGCTCAGTTAGGACCCTCGTATCCATTCAGGGAGGACGCCTTCAGGAGCAGAAGGGCAGAAGTCCTGTTCCAGCTCGGTCAGCTTCCTTGGGCAAGCTCCACACTGCCCAGCTTGCAATTTCTTCAGCAAACAGTAATGATGGTGTTTACCTGGCTGCCTCCACAAGGACTGATGTCATAGAGGCCACAAAGGGCTCAGCACAAAGGCCCATGCCCAGTTAGACCTCACTACTCTGTGGGCTGCGGTCACACTTGGGCAGCCCTAGTGTGTGGGCGGCACTGAAGTTAGGACTCAGTGCTGCAGGGTGGCTCTCTCCTGCCTGGGACACTGTGAGAACCCAGACTGAGCTCTGGGAACAGACAGAAAGGGACCAGCTCATACCCACCATCTCGATGACACTTCCTGGGAGCTGGTATGATACAGCGTAGATTTTATTTTATTTTGCCATGTCTCTGCTTTGGTTTTGTTCCACCCCCCCACCACCCCACCCCCGCCAATCTAATGGCCGTCGCTTTGCATGTCTGTGCTGGCCCCACCTTGGTCAACATGGGAAAGGGCACGGCTTTGGGACAGTTTCCCCATGTGGGTGTGCAAGAAGGAGACTGCTGAGAGAGTCTTAAGAATGCCCACTGCTGTCTTAGGCACAGGGCGTGGCAAGGAGTAAGTAAACAGGAGGGGTCTGCCCTCGGAGAGCTATAATCCTCTATGGAAGGCTGAACAGACAGTAATAAAATGCTACGTGGCCACGGGTTGTCTGGGTCAGTGTTCCACGGCTGCGGCGAACACCTGGAAATGTCAACTCAAGAAAGCAAAGATTTGTTTGGGCTCACACTTTCAAAGTTTACAGTCCGTGATCAGCTGGCTCCATCATTCCCAGGTCAGTAGTGGAGGAGAACGTAATGGTGACAAAGCTTGGTGGGGCAGAATGCTCAGTTCATGGCAGCCAGAGAGAGGGGGAGGGGAGGAGGAGAACCTGGAGACAGGCTATACCCTTCAAAGGCGTGACCCGCACCTCCATAGTGGCCTGTTTTCTTTAAACTCGCCCTCTAGTTTCCATGGCCTCCCAATAGCACCCATCGATTATGACTCTACCAATGGTTCTTTCCATTGATAAAGACAGAGCCTTCTCATTTACTGATTCATCTAATCTGTTCCTGGGTCCATCTATACTGCCGATGCTACAGCTAATGTGTGCGTGCGTGCGTGCGTGCGTGCGTGCGTGCGTGCGTTGTGTGTGTGTGTGTGTGTGTGTGTGTGTGTGTGTGTGTGTGTGTGTGTGTGTGTTGTGATGGGGGTGGAAAGCTTTGCACATGCTAGGCGAGTACTCTACCACTGAACTACATCCTAAGATGTTTACTGAGAGACATGATGTAATTTGCTGTCTTGAAGAAGCATGCTGGCTGCTGTGTGGAGAAAAAGTAGGGCAAGGTGGAGCAATGAGGAGGCCCGTGAGGAAATAATCTAGGCAAGGATAATAGTAGTGACTTGGGCCAGGGTGGAGTAGGAAAAAGAGACACAGATTCCAGAGCCACTTTGAAGTTATTGCCTATGGACTTTGCTGATGAGGGGATAAGAGGGATGAGAAGGAGGCGAGAATGTTTGGGTAGATGCTGAAACAGGCAAGGCCAAGGGGCTGGGGTGGGTAGTGGGGAGGTGAGAAGAAGGATCATGAATCTGGTTAGAGGCTTCCAACAAGAGGAGGCTGCCTGGCAGGCTTGGTGAATCTCAAGCTCCGGAGAGAGAATAGAGCTGGAGATACACATTTGAGAGACATCAGGGCACATGCAATATCAAATGCCTTGAGGATGGGTAAGGTCGCGAGGGAGCGGTGAGGGAGGAGAGAGGAGAGGCAAGGAAAGGAGGAGAGGGAAGAGACAGAGAAAAGAGGAGAGACTGGAGGGGAGGAACAGAGACAGGAAAGGAGGGGTGGGAGAGGAGAGAAGGGGAGAGGTGAGGAAAGGATTGGGGAAGAGAAGGCTCGGTGTTAGGCTTTCCGGTTTTATGTTCTGAGACAACTTGAGGGAGAGACCTTGTATTTCAGTTCACAGCTTCAGAGAAGTCAACTGACAGTTACTTGGTTCCATGCTTCCGCTCTGCTGTGAGACAGAGCACCATGGCGGTGGGAGAATGGCAGGAGAGTCTCCTTGGTGCTCAGAGAGCTAAGAGAGGCAAAGGCCAGAAGTTGGGTGTCTTTTCTTGCCACTTTTCCCTCGTCACCCCATCTGGAGGCCGTCCACACTCAAGACAGGTCTTTCTCATCCCCTCTGTCAGTCTTCTCTGGAAACTCCTTCACAGACCCCACAGGCGTCCCTCAGCAGTCCCCTACAGGCTTCTCAATCCATTCGAGTTGGTAATGAAGATTAGCCACCTCAGGAGGGACAGTGGGGGAGAGGAGCGGAGAGAGCGATCAGTTAAGGGGGGAACGGGGCAGAGGGCAGAATGCAAGTGAGGAGTGTGCTTGAACACTGAGGAAACGTCAGTTTTATATATCAGATGCTCCAGGAAGAGGAAGGTGGACACTGGCCACAGAATACTATAGACTGGAAGTCTGAAGACAGGGAAGAGGCAGCGCATCCCACTCCTGAACTGTCGGAGGCAGGGCCCGCACACTGCCCTCCAGGACCCCATTAGCTGTAGTTCAGGAATTACAAGGACGGAAAACCCAGGAGAGAATGAAAGCTAGTCATCAACACCCAGAACACTGGCTTCTGCTGTGAGCAGAGGCCCTGGGATGATGATGATGATGATGTGCTGTGATGTGAGCCATTCATCTTCCATAACATAACTTGTCCATAGCTCGGGGTGGATTGGGCAGAACTATCTAGGTTAATTTTTATAATGAGAACTTCCCGAGCTTTGTGTAATCACCAAGAACCCCATTAAAACTACTCAGCTGAGGTACCAGTGAGGAGCAATGTTCACTGGGAAAGACCTATTTCTTGCAACCCATTAATCATCCGTGATCAATGAATTGACTGACTCACTGATGCACAGGTCCATTCATTATTCACTCGTTTACAACTCATCCATTCATAAGCCTGGTGTGTGGGTGGGGAAAAAGACAACTGGACTGTGGAGTGCTGGCCTTTGCCTCTCTCTACTTTCTGAGCGCCACAAAGAAACTCTTCTGCCACATGTATTCGGAGTAGTGTGTGTGTGTGTGTGTGTGTGTGTGTGTGTGTGTGTG